CTATTAATCGCCTTTCATTTCAGGTAGTTGAATTAATCTTAGGCATTTGTATCAGCTATTTTTTTAAACCTTGTTGTTTTAACACCTTTAATTACAATCAATATAAAAGACAATAGTATTTTTAGCATTCTTAATCTCAACTGAGGAAGCCACAGGAAATGCTGAAAAAGCAGGATATCCTCAGAAACTCCTGTTTATCTACACAAGCAATCGGATTAGAGTGCTTTATACAAACTAGGTAAGAAACAGAATCAGCATTTAAAAAAAAAATAAAATAAAACAGCATTTTATAGTAAATGTTCACTTTTAATTATTAATACTGAAGACCCAAGTATAAAAAAGAAGTTTTAGAAATGACACTTGAAAACAATAAATGCCTTACTTACACAGGCAAGAGATACTAATTTTAACACTGCTATGATATTAAGCAAAGCATTCTTATCTTTTAAAAAAGTAAATGACATATCACAGAGGCTGGATGCAAGACATTCCTTATGGGTCGAGGAGGTAGCAAGGAGCAGTGGAAAGAGCACTCACTGACCAGATACAGGCAACCCAGATTCTGGCCTAAGCAGCCCCCCATGAAACAGATATCTGGGGAAAGCCACTGGGCCCTAGCTTCCTGCTCTGTTAGTGGAGCAAGCTTGTGTAGATCAGTGGAGTGGATTTACTCCAAGAGAAATGTAAATTCCATTTCTTACATGCACGAAGTTTTACCTGAAACAAACACACACAGATTAACAAACAAAACAGACTACAGGAATTATTTTTCAAATGTATGTAGATACCATTAAGATAAATGAAAAGGGAACTCAAAGAGTAGTGCTTGTTATCATGCTTTTTAATGAAATGATACTAAAAATAGGACTACCACAAGAGCTAAAAGGAAAATAAAATGATACTAAGAAGGGTTCTCACACCACTGTTACGACCAGTGTCCATTCAGTCAAGGTGAGGGCCAGCCTGGGACACTCTCAACGGCAGAAGCCGTCTGCTCTACCAAAGCAAGTGAGCAGCATGCCAGCTCAGGGAACTCTTCAAGTAAAGTGGAGACAAAGGTGGGTATCACTGCAGGGACCATCCAGGATGTACAGAAGCCAGCCATGAAAGCAGTAGAGACTACACAAGGCCAGGGTGAGCTCCTCAGTAAACCTCAGTCCTGACATTCACTCAAGGCAAGATTTTATACAATTGTAAACCTCAAATTTTCTCATCTGCAAAATGAAATAAATATCACAAAGTAAACTATGTGTAAAGAGTAGCACAATGCCTGGGCACAAAGGAAATGCTCAATGTTAGTTTACTTCCTTAACATACAGCTAGCTGATCTGAGATTTTAAATAACCCACTGCAAAGACTGTATAAAGCCACAGTTCCTAATTTTAATTTAAAAAAATATTTTTTTAAAGATTGTATTTATTTATTCATGACAGACACACACTGGGGGGCGGGGGCAGAGGGAGAAGCAGGCTCCATGCAGGGAGCCCAACGTGGAACTTAATCCCAGGTCTCCAGGCTCAGGCCCTGGGCTGAAGGCGGGGCTAAACCACTGAGCCACCCAGGCTGCCCTAATTTAAAATTTTAAAAAATATTTTAGGAATCTACTGATTAGCATCCATGATTGAAAAGAAAAAATTCTCTCCAGAAAAATTCACATACATACAAGACTCTGCAATCAATTTCAGAAGTTCAAAGACTCTTAAACTCAAGTAGTCGTAGGGGCCTATGGACCCCAGATCAAGAATGTCTACAACACTAATAAATTATTTAAAACCTGAATTTGTATAATGAAAAACTATGTGGCAACAGATAATCCTTAATAAATGTTTATTATGCTTACCATGCTAAGCAATTCAATGAATTATTATGCTTTGCAACAACCCTTGAGGTAGAGCATAGTGCTGTGCCATTTTATTAGTGAGAAAACTAAGTGTTAAGAAGGTTAGTTAATGTGTCTCTTGTTACAAAGGAATGCATCATAAGAAAAACATGTTCTCTAATGCACCAAAAACAAAATTAGTTCAAAAAAAATGACGTAAATAAAATAGTTCAACCCACTATTACGTCCTGTCTTATCTGTCTGTGTTAGTCACTCAGCAGAGTTCTTAAAACATGCAAAAAGATGGGACTACAAAATAAAAAGACGAAATAACAAATTATTCTAATCCTTGATCTCCTAGTGAGGAAGGGGTTAGGTGCCCCAACAAGAATTCCAGCCTGCAGAACTGCATCCATGACAACAAAAATGAATGTGCATTTTAAGTTTCCTTTAAATACCAGTACCTTTCAGCTTTGGATTGAGTCTCTGTACTGTCATTGGAACCACCCACTATGGGAGCCGCTGGAGTCAGAGAGGATCATCTCTGCCTGATCTAGGGAGAATCTGGGCAATGTTATCTTCCCCTTCTCACTTCCCTCACTAGTCCTGAACCGCCAGTAAACACAGTACTTTTTGCTTTAAAAAAAAAAAAATCCAAGCTATTAGATTTTCCGTAGTAAGTACAAAGGCTGCCTTTCCAGCACAAATATTTTAAATATGAACAGTGAGAGTTAATTTTATAAAATTTTAACAAATGAGTTGATGTCATCAGTAGTGTAGAAACACAGATCACATATACCTGAATATACGAAGAAAGTTACATTATGATGCAGTCAGCACTACCCTATAAAAACTAAACTAACAAAAATAGTCTATTAGGGAAGACATCTGGTGTATCATGGCAAAAACTGTTAATGATATTGTCTGCAACCCTGTAATCAATTTTTTTTCTCCCAGCAGCTCTCTCATTGCACTGTATTAGATCTGTGTGCCTGCAGAATTTAGAGAGCTCCACACATGGGGGGTAGCTCTGCCAACTGGATCCAATTCAGATCCAGTTCAAACGACTTTGGCAGCATGAAGCGTTGTTAAAGAACAATCAATACAGTTTGCTTTATGCAGCATCATCTTGACTCAGAGAAGATTCATTATCTTACTACAGAACTATCACAAACCTATATATGATGGTATCTGAGTATGCTACCAATCATGAACTTATTTAAATGCCCAGTGAATGCAATACTTTTACTGCTAAAATAAATAAATACTGGTCATCACTAATGCTAACACAAAAAGTTTACTAAAGGCAATGTTATTACAGGCAAAATTTTAAACCCATTCAACAAATCCTGATTAGTGAATATTGTGGTAAATGAAATAGTCTAACAATGACATTCACACTAAAAAGAGAATAAAATGAGAAAATACCAGCCTAAAAGATAAAATCATTTCTCAGAGACATACAGAAATAAGATGGCACTAGTAAAGGCTGAAGTTTTCGAAGGAGGTAGTAAAGGTGGGACTTTGCTAATCTGTCCCTTAATGAGGTCAGTATATCTCTTAGGGATTAAAATTAGACTTTTATCTACCACATTGGGTTTTATCTTCCATTGTGAACAGTTATTATATCAAGAATTCCAAGGATTTCACAATGTAAACCTTTTTTCTGGTCTAATTCTTGATAAATCACACCAGCAACTATTTTAACGTTAAAGTGTTATGACGATTATTCCTAGTTTTGTTATGATTATTAATATCCTATATCTCCATTGTCCTGGCCCTCCTCACTTTATGCACGGGACAGCCACCTAACTGCAGCTTCCGCAGTCAGCCCTGACTCCACACTGCTACCCAATCAATCTTCTTAATAAGCAGGCATTTGCAAATCAGCTTGCCTGGAATAAAAAAGCCTATGAAGGATTCTCTCTTCCGCCATCACATAAAATCTTCCCTCATCTCACCTTTACAACACTGCTCCCATGACCCACTAACCTGTGCTCTCCGTTGATGTCCTGCGGTCTTCTCTCAACTCCCAGCTTCACCGGGCTCACTGCCTACGTGGCTTACAGGGACAGGCAGACATGTACACCTGGAAGGCTCATCCAGCCTGCCTGTCCACATGTCATTGACGTACCAAAACCAAATCCACCTCCTCAAAATCTGCCTACCTTCACAAAACTTTCCCAAGTGATAGAGCTGATTTGCAGCACTCTCTTCTTCTATTTTCAAGATACTGTCTTTCTACACTGCAAATGAACAATTCATTATATATTGCCAGTATCTTGTAATATGCACATGCATACATGATGGCTATTCTCTGGTGTTATTTTCTAATTGAGTATACATTTGAACCCCACGGTCAGATTACATACAAGAGAAAGGTCTTCAACTTCTTTAGTGATTAACAGCAGTCAATCAGAACAATAAACACCTGTCTTTCTGAAAATGTTATCATTAAAACCTTATGAAGGGGGAAAAAAGAAAGGTATATATACAACTTTCATAAAAGGTGAGATACATGACACAAATAACCCACACGGATCACTAACACCAGGCCCTGTGTTCTAGGGGTAAAACACCACAGACACTTCATCTTGCTTCACCTCACACACATCATTACCACCAGGTAACAGAGACATTACCAGGGCACAGCTGAGAGCACTAGATCTACATCTTTACTCAACCCTTTAGAAGGGTTTAATTCTACATCTGGCATTGCAGAAAAGCCTAGCTACTCCTGAGCAATATTCTACACAAAACGTCACCTGAGAGGACAGCATCCAAAATGTTTAGATTCATGGGCCATGAGTCCCAATGATGCTGGGGAGGTGCACATTCCACACTTGGACTCAAACTTACCCCCTTTTTTTCCCCATTTCAGTTGCCAACATCCATACTCGCTGCTGATTGCCAGCTCCTGCTCCTTGCAGCGGCCCAGCATGCTCTCTGCTGGCACCCAAATACCCTATACCACCAAACCCCACTGACTTCTGGAACTGTCCTAGAGGGGTAAGGTAAGTCCCGTATTTTGCTTCCTCTGTGCATGTACTTGTTACTCCTTTAAAAACACATACAATACAGCACATTTTTAAAGGGGCTCTGGGGAGGGAGGTAATGTTCCTATTTTATACCCTATGGGATATAAAATATTGATAGCTTTTAAAAACGGGATTCTCCTTACCCCTACAGGCCCTCTCCCGGCTTCAGAAAGATGTTGTGGTGGCTGTGATGCCACCGGCAGAGAGCATGCTGGGGGGTCACACAAAGCAGGAGTTGGAGATCTGCAGCAGGCCTGGGAGTTGTGGACCTAAAAAAGAAAAGAGCTTTCAGTTAGCATGCCCAACGTCCCCTCCGGCCCTGGTTACTAGGGGCACGCAGCACACAAGCAGGTATGTGCACCATCCTTTAGCAGATGGCCTCTCAGATAATTTGTTCTACTGCTGAAGTTAGCCTCTCTGTTTCAATCAGAGCTGATTCTTTATTTCAGCAGGAACAAACCTACAACCCTTCTGGCTCCACACTATAAACTGAGTCCTGTTGTAAAGCAGTATGGTGTGTGCCCCCAAAATAACCAAGTTAAGATGTGACACAGTGCCAAAGCACAGTGACAGTGGCATGCTTTGCTTAGAATAAAAAACAAAAAAGCAATGGTATCAGATAAACACAACTGTAAAATGAACCACAAGTGGACGAGCTGAACTTTCAGAACAGTTTCCAATGTGAGATGCTAGAGGCATAAGACAGATACTTTAATAAGAAAATATTCAAAAAAAATATTCAAGGCATTGGGGGGTCAAAGAAAGACCCTATCATTTTCTCAAAGTCCCAGTTTAATTTTGTAAAGCTAAAGGCAAGGTAAAAGACAAAGGCTTAATACCAGAGGGAAAGAAAGACACCATTCAAATGAGCAGTTTCTCATAATGCCCACCTGAACAGGTACAAAACATAAAGCTTAAAAGAGAAAGTATTTCTTTTAGAGGCAAAACCAGTTCTCTGGTATGTATCACATGTCTGTATTACTTTTCTTTTGAACGTTGAAAACATTTAAAAGCAGCAGCAGATCAGAGAGCAACTTTTGAAGGCCAGTACCATCTCTTGTAAGCATTAAAAAAAAAAAAAAACAAAAAACCTCAAATAACAGTTTGAGTGTGTTCCCTTTCAAATATTCTAGAGAGTATATAACACTTCCAAAAAACTAACCAATCCAATTTCACGTGGTTTTAAATGAACTAATAAAAATTCCATAAAATCCAGATACTTATTTAAGAATCTCCATTCATAAAGTTCTTTAAAAATGACAGATAAGCAAACTTTTTAATATTAAACCATTTTTAGGGAGCCTTGTTACATTTAGTTCATTTAGTTTTGAATCACTACCAACTTCCTGTGATCCAAGATTTTAATAGTATCCTCCATTAACTACTTCTTTTTCTATGTCTCTTTTAAAATAAACAAAAACATAAATCACAAGAAAGTAAGACGATACTCTGTACAGATCACCCTCTAGAGTATACACTCGGTGCTACACAGGACACTCCCTGTGTGGCCAGGTCTCTGACTCCCACTGCCTCGGGGACAACACACAATGACACTAAGTGTTGTCAGCAGCATAACCTTCCACACACCCCACCTTCCCGTACCAGCACTGCAGATTCCAAATCAAAGAGTCAATTGTGCACTAGAATGTACAAGATACTTGATATTTTTTTTACCATAATCACCCAATAAAAAGGAATTGCTGGTTAATATTTTGCACTAGGAATTCATCAGATCACTCAAATCCTTATTCATTCAAATCAAGAGTCTTAAATGAAGAAGACACCAAATAAAGCATTTCAAAGCATGTTGGCATTATTTTAAATATGCAGTTCAAGTAATTTTTAAGGTATTTTAAATATTAAAAAATACATTTCAAAGCATATCACTGTTCTTATTTATGAATCAGAAAACATGGACAGTATCTGTTTCTGATTTTCTTTCTTCTAATGAGTTTTACTTGGACTATTCTGAGTCAGTTCTTAAACACAAACATCCACATATACATACAAATTACAAATGCCCGTTCTAGGGAATCAAGTTTGAAATAGTAAGATTTTACCAATATTCTTGCATAGCAGCTCTCTGCAAAAACCAAATTGTCTCAAACTTTCTTAGGCTTCTTTTTTAGAAAGATGAGAATGCCTAGTTTTCCACACTGAAAACATTTCTCATAGAATAGGCTTGATAAATAACATTTTTGACATGTATTTTATACAACAGTATAATTAAGCAAAACTCTTTCAGTGCTTTCTTAGTTCTAAAATCCAAATAAACCAGGAGGAAATGAATTACCCAACTTCACAGTAATTGTGAACCATTAAAACTTTAAATCCCACGTGGCCTATAATGACTGTCAGTCATGAGTGAAAACAGCCTGCTGAGAAGCTGAGTAAATGGGGCCAATAAGATGCTCTTAGATTATTTATTCCCAAAGCCTCACTGTGATTTTTCACTTACATGAATACCATCCCCTCCATTTATAAGTTGACATTCGTATCATGCAAAAAGTCAATGGTGATTCACAATAACTTTCAACATGATTGCCCCATAACTGGCAGGAGGAGTATCTAAACACCACCTTGTCCATTAAACTTGGGGCTAAGGATTTCACCCCCTCTTGCTTTGTAAAGGATTAAATAAAATTATAAACTTCAAATTTACATGTGAAAAGGACATTTAGTTTCTGCACATACATTTATTACTGATGGCTTACTCCAAACAAATAGCATGGAGTAAGTCCAATACCTCATTATACTTTATTATCATGCTTATAGATAGCAACTAAGCAACCATGGCCTTTACTTAAAATGAAGGGAGAAAAAAAGATGTGGCTGCCAAAAGAATACTCTAGCACCAAATCAAGAATGTGCACCTTTTCTTGACTTAGAAATTAGAAGAGTGGTATAACAGTGACACACTGTTAGCAGGTGAGAACAACTAAACTAGCAGAAAGGAACAATTCTGTTGGAAGAATGATTTCAGCTGTACATTCCAGCATGTCTCTAAGTAACACCTGATTACAGACTACAAAGAGTTGATAATAAACTTCATGGGCTTCACTTCAGTATCCAACACTCCAAGTCGCAAGGCTGTAAAGGCATGGTACTGACCTTTTCGTAGGGAATGAACTATGAGAAAAAGGAAGTATGGAAGGTAATGCTCACTTTGGCAGGCCTAACTTGAGGAACTCTAAGAAGATGAGAAAAAAGCCACTTTTCACACAAAAATGAACCATCACATCATAAGGCATTCTTCCTAGCAGCGTGGCCTTCTCAGGAATGTTTACCTGTAGACCAAGCCCTCATTTATCTTTGCTAAAAGTCAGTACTGTTGAAAATTCAAAATAGGTTTTAATGCCTTAAAATTAAATGTTATGACTTTGGGACTTTGGCTACACTCATGTAAATTTCCTGAAGGAAATAAGAAATGAAGTTTTAATGTGTTTAAAGAATAATTATTTAAATATAAAATACTACACACTGCAAGCTAACCAAAATACTACACATTGTAAACTAAAGGTAAAGAAACAAGTCCTTTTGGTTTGTTTAATAAACAGGTTAATTTGTAGTTAATGCATATCAAATTACTACTAAAGTTTTTTTTAAACCTTATGCAATGAATTTTTCCACTAAAATGTTATTTTATTCAATATTCAATAAACATTTACTGTGGATCTTATATGGGCCAGGCAATGAGCTAAGCACACAGTATACATCAATGAATAACACAGGCATGGTGTCTACCAGAACACCAATGAAACATCGATATCACAACCATGTCATTCCATGGCCCAAGCACTATATACGCACTCTGTAGGCTTGATCTTTTCATCTAAAAACCACCTACCTACAAGGAGGTGCTTTATTTATACCCCAACCTCACAGGTATAAAACAAGGTTAAGAGGGTTAAGTGTCTTGCCCAAGGTCATAAAAGACAGCAACTGAAGAACAGACCAGCTGATGTCAAAGTCAAACTCCCAACATATGCACTCTACCATCCCTCCTCTCAGTCCCCAAGTTAACACCTCAAATTCTGAATTAGCCACACTCACACTAATGTAGACCTCCCGTCCTACCCCCGGAAAAGTTTTTAATACAAGATTTACCTAACATTAAAATGAATGCCCACTTCTTGATTATCTATACACCATACATTCTGTGCTAAGTGGTCACAGCAGCTAAGGTGGAATTAAATAATTGTGGCATATGATGCATAAATGACAAACTCATTGTGTGTATACATAGATATGTGCACAGAGTGCATGTTAAATAAGTATCCTGTATCCTCCATCAGTATCTAGGTTTAGGTCTCTAACAAAAATGAAAAGATAAAATTACTTATCCTCAGTAAGTTTTCATTTTAAAGACAGAAAAGCAACTTCTTGCTTTTAATCTACTTCTAAGAAACTTGATGTGGTGTAGAGAGGGCAACATCAATGATGCATGGAAGCTGTGCTGAAGCTAATTTCTCTGCAGCCCCTCTATTGTACTGTGGCAATCAAGTTTTAGTGAAGGATTATAGATACAGACCAGAAATCAGAAATTCCAAATGTTCCTTCCCCGACTGCTCACATATGGCAACAAAACAAAGAAGACGGTGTTAAAGCTTGAATGACATGGCCCCCACATTCATAGCAGTTTTGGAGATGAGCCTTCTCCAAGGTAACTAGTGCTATGTAGCCTCAGCTACCCCACATTCACAATGGACACTTAGAGTGGATGCCGTCAGGGACATAAATGATACAAAAGCACACTCATCCATGCAGAGTCATAACAACTCAATGAGCCCTAAACAGTAGATTAAAAATACCACAATATCCCTAATGACATATCCCCGACTTCAGGGAATCTCTAAACCAGGTTTAATGTCAAGGACAACTTTTCCATTTGTAATAAACCAAAAAGGAGTCAAGGTGAATCAGTGGTATTTGCTCAAAATAATATTTGTAATAATTACATATGCTACCTGGAAATTCATTTCATACAACAGTTAAAGAATCGATAAGTATATAACTCTAGGAAACCAAAACTCTACTTTTTTTCTATTGTATGAATGATAGGAACTCATTAGGAATCCACACAGAATGCCTACGTAGAATATTAAAAGGAATGGCTTCAATTATCTGTGAGTGAAGAATTAAATATGGTCTATCAGAGCCAGACTAGGTACTCCTCGGTGTTCTACTGCAAGAAAATTACTAAACAATCTTGTGAAGCATTTTCAGAACTTACAATTATTTCTAGATAGCAAGTTAACTCTATTATGCTAAAGACCTGGATTTCTATAAAAATGCAATTTTATTGTTTTTTAGTAAAAGCAAGAAGGAAATCTTTCTTTGGGGACCAAAGGCAAACAGATTCCTTCACATTAATCCTACTCAGAGTGCTCTCCAGAGAGGACTGGCATCCAGGGCTGCCACAGCTGCCTGTCCAATTCTAAGGTCACTGAGGGAAGAACTTTCTCTCAAAGACTACAGTCTCCTTCAAGGCACTGCACCCACCGAAGCACACAGAGTAGGCTTCTGCTAAATGCCCATCAAAGGCACCAATCACAACTGAAAAAACATTCCTCACTGCACTCAGTATTATCATGCTCCTTGGTGCTACCAACTCACTCAGGAACAAACTCTGAAAGCAAACTAGGTCACACATGACCTAGGAAAGCTAAGGGAGTGCAGCCAAAGGAAGAGTTGAAGATGTTATCCCAGGCTCTTTCAGTTAATTAATGGAGACCCACTCAAGCTGGCCTGAGACAAGAAGCCTTTACTAGCTAAGGCCTCCCAAGAGCTCAGGGGGAAGGCACGCTCGTTCCCATTGGGCTTCTACTGCTCTCTGCACAGTTGCTTGGATCCTCTGTTCTCCTTGCCTTCCTGTCCTATCATGTCAGCTTGCTTGTGACCTGTTTACACCTGCCAACCTTCACTGCATTGAGGCGACTCTTGATTCATCCTTCTGGCTTTGCCCCTCAGCTAACTGCTTCAGTCTCTCAATCTTTTCAAGCAAGGCCACAAAGATCATAGATTGCCACTCCATATTACTATTCTTTCAAAGAACTAAAGATTTTGCCAGGTGCCTTATTATATATTAGTTCAAGAAGCCTAAAGTGCAAAGCTGCCTTATTTAATTGACAATCCCAGCCTATTCCTACTTCTAAGCATACACTAACCATAATTCCACCTTACCTCTACTGTCTCAAGCCGCTGCTTTGACTACTTGTTTCATAGAAACTTCTGTCATTATAGTCAAACAAATCCAGTTTGGTCTCCTAGTCTATAAATAAGCCCAACCAAATTAACACTCCCCAAAAGGATGAAAGCTTCCTAACAGAACACAGAACTTGCTTCCCTTGAAAATGCTACTTTCAAAAGTAGCCTCAGTTCTGCTAAGAACTCAATTACTTTGCACTGTCAATAGCTTCCACCTATCCTTGTGAAAGTGGGGGCTCTAAATAGATCTACCAATATAGGGTGGTAGTAGCATTTTGATGGTTAAATGTTAACAAAGCAGAAACCATGGATCCCATCCCCATAGGCAAGATGACCACAGAACACATTTGAGACTGAAAGGGGACACTGTTTAACAGTTTGCCAGGTTTAATGTAATCCTGCACATAGAGACAACTATGTTCCATATCACAGACTCCCGGCTCTATGGGATATAGTAGCAGAGCCTAGAAGACAACCCAGGTCCCCACATACAATCCTAAGATCTTGCTTATCTCTCACAGAACTAGTCCCTGAAATGTTACCCAGAGTCCTCAGTTCAACAAATTGGCATTATGCTAGTTTTGGTTACTGGTCACAGATATTTCCTTATGACCACTTCTTAGTTCCTTAACTTCCATTGTGTCTAACACTGTAATCTTACCTAATAGGTACCATAAGGGCATTTGCCCAGTTCTTTTAACAGTCCCAAATATACCACATGTTCAAAAAGTCATCATGGTAAAAGAGTTCATTCTAATTCATGGTGTAAACAAAAGAACACATTCTTCAGTTACAACCCCAAACCAAAAAAGCTTTAAAAAGATAAAATACATAATTAGTCAACATTTCAAAGCTATTAGGTTTTTGTTTTCCAGTGCTCCACTTGCCATGCATGGTATTTTCTGTGGGCAAAACCAACTCCAATTTCTTCTTTTTAAAATCTTGCAGAGAAACAAAGCATATTTCCTTCTTTTCATCTTTTCCCCTTATAGCCTGGATAAGCTGAAGGAAAAAAGAGCTATGATTATTCTCATCTATTACATTATCTTTTCATAATAGAATTGCAAACCAAGGGAAGAAGAAAGTGGATATCCACACAATAACAACGTTCCTTCTAGGAATAAGTATTTTATCATCTCAGTTATTCTTGCACAACAACTATGAGTATGTGCTGAACATAGAACTCAAAGAAAAACATGAGGCATAGCAGTGTGCAACTTACATACTGTGCCCATTTCCCATACTGTTTTTGCAGACAGCTTTAATGTGTTGTACCAGACCCATACTAACAGAAGCTTCAGCTTTTATTGCTGTTAATACTCTGAGCAATTACTGTAACTCAGCAGGAACCTCTGCCCCAAACAGCAACTATCAGATTGTAATCAGCATTTCATAAGAGACGCTGTTCAAACATGAAGGCACCTGCTAATATACTAAAATTGTAAAAAAAAATGGGGTCTGAATCTAATAAGTTAAAAAAAAAACTTTGTAATTTTATTTCACAACTATATCTTTTCCATGGTGTACTGGTATTACATTTGGTTTAAAAAAAATCACAAAGAGGATGAGCAGGGACAGAGCAGAAGCAATGGCCACAAGCAAAAGAAAAATCATCAGGAAATGAGACCACTGCCCGGATTTTCAGATGTCAATACAGCATCTGCACAAAAAAAAATCTTTGGAAGGAAATACAGAATAGCAAAGACCTCGAAAAATGGTAAAACTTCATATTGACATAAAATCTGAATAGAAAGCATTTGATTTACAAAATTGAACTGCAAGGCCTCCTTATAAAACAAGCAGGGAAGTTAAAAGAAGCCTACCAAGAATAAATAAATCTTAGAAGTAAAGGGCACATTTGACTTTTTTTTTTTTAAACAGTAAGCATGTGTTACTTATGCAACAAAACTTTAATAAAAAATAAATGGCATGCAATTTTTTAACCAGCTAAGTTAGAATTTACTAATTGGGTATTTGGGGTCATCAAAAATATTAAGAAACAAAGGAGACACAGTGTTAAAGATCTCTCCACACTACATTACCTTTCTTTAGACTGAAGTATCACATACAAAGTGTGAGAATATAAATACTGTCAAGTTACAAAAAGTTTTGGAAATAACAGCATTCACAGATACTGAAACATACCTCTACAGAGCTACAGAATTAGGATTTCTCTATACCTAAGAAGGTAGATAGTGGTTCACAACCTTCAAGTACAAGGATCCCTTTTTAATGTTTCAAAAGATCCCCCAATGATAATACTCTGCTAGTATTTCATGTATCAGTTGTTTGAGGAAAATACATAATACACTGATTCTTAACTCTGTATTGTTATTAAATAAAGTGATTTTTAAAAATCACACCAGCATATTAATATATTTGAAAAATAGTTGTACAAACACATGTGAGGCATATTTTCAACTGAGAATGTTTATTTTCAGTCCTTTGTAAAATCTCTATAGATATCCAGGGATCCAAAGCCCCAAGTATGGGAACCATTAGTCTAAAACCTAGAGACTGGCTAATGGGCCATATCAGCACCTCTAAACTTGGGGAAGGTTTGTAATGAGAAAGTACTATAGACATGCCATCCCCATGTCAGAGTCCTTCCCCCAACCTCTACCACCAGATGACCCCCAGATACACTCTATACTCACTAAAACCTCTAAAGAAATGAATAGCTGCCACCAAAAACTAGTCTCTGCTGCATTTATATTCTTTTTTTCTAACTCACCACCAATTCCCAAATTTACTTCAGGGTATTCAAAATGGCTGAGAAGAAACAAACTACTTCAGAAACTCAAGAAAATCTCTAAAATTATTGTCAAAACAGCTACTCAAGAAATGAAAACTTTGGGAACACTGTTCACAGTACAAGCTTTAAAACTGCAAGTATTACAAAACCAAAAAGATAGAACTGGTAACTGCCTTACACATGCTATGGCTGCCACGCAGTCAGTATTCAGAGGTGACCTGGTTATCAAGTCCAGAATCACGAAGAAACAATCAAGAGAGACAGCCAATGGAACTGGAAAGAGAGAAGGCACAGAGGAAAATCAAAAGCACATTAAAAAATGCTTACCAGTTTGAAGTCTTGAATGCTACAGATGAAATACGGCGTGTTTGGCCTCCGACTCTCGATATACACACAGTCTTTAAAAGAAAAAGAAATTTTAAAACAATGGTATTTACCATTAAGGGAACAAAGACAGGGCCTATAAAGCCATTGCATAAGTAAACAAATGACAAAACACGTATCTTTAATAGAAAAAAAATTTTCAAAGATGTATTATAAAAGTACAATTAATTTTAAGCTAGAGAGACAGCCCTTGGGTTCTTACTGACCACTTTTCTGATAATTTAAAGAACCTGATAAAACCTCAATTATTGCTTCCAGGGTGCCTGAAGACGAGAGAGAAATCCCATGGGATTAACCATATGTTGATGAGGAAATTTCAATTAAGGGAATTATTTGATTGGAGCTACACAAGACAAAATCTTGAATGTCTTATTCAGAGAGATGCTCCCATGTCTTCACAAAGAGAAATGACTTTGCCAAGTGCTTCTTTATTTTCAGTAAATAATTTGTGAGGAAATAAATGAAAGATATAAAAGAAGACTAGCTTGAACATGCCATTATAATGACCTTTCCACCTAAGCCAAGAAACAGAAAGAAATCTAATCTGTTGTGGATAACTTACTATTAAACTTCAACCTAAACATGTTTTATTTTCTAATTATAAATAAAACCAAGGCATCCAATCAGAGGTGGGATGCAATAAACCAAACTACACTTTCCTCAAGGGAATAAGAGCACTTTCTTAAATTATATTTGACATGGCAATGGTTGGATAATTATTTCTGATGCTCTCAACAGCTGTAGTCTAAAGGGCTGCTCTTTAAAATGGCAGGTTAAGATACCTTTTTTTTTTTTTTTAAAGAAGCAATGATTTTAAGGGAAGCAGTGGCTGGCTATAAATGGACTTTAACACTTCCCACAGGGCAACCCAAGATGATTATAAAGCTTAGGATAAGATCCTCTATGTATTATTTACTGAGAACTAAAGGCATCTGCAGTCAATCAAATTTTCAAGGGATAATGAACATGATACCCACATTCAAAATGCCATTTGTTTTATCCCTCCTCATGACCCTTCATAATGAGTGTATCTCAGGATAACTCAGATGCTTAAAAATACAAGCAGATTCCTCTACTGCCTTATGTTACATATGCAGAGCCAAGAAAAACAAAAGGACAGAAATCTGGAGCCATCCATCCAGTGGACACTCCAGTACCACCACAGGCACTAGCTGACGCACTAAGAGATCATGAAGAAAGCCCTCACCAAGAACACCTCTTTCCAAGAAACTTTCTGAAAAACGTCGGGATTTCTGTAGCCCAAAATCATTCCAGAAAAAGAGGAAATATGAATGCCAATTATCTAGGCATCCAGAATGTCCCAACTGAATTCTCTACTCAGATATAGACTCAACAACAAAGATTCAATCTCTGAATCCATGTACAATAGCAGCTCACGAATAAACTGCTGACTGGACTTTCTACTTTATTCCGGGGTCCAGGATGCTATATAACTCTACTTAACATTCAGACAACATCCATTAACATGCCAATCATCTTAAGGAACAAGAGAACTCTCCCTAGTTTGGTAGATCTTTGTCTTCGTATCCCTAATTTGGTATTCAAGTAAAAATATTCCCTAGATAAAAAACTCCAGTTCCAACTTGCACAATTTTGGAACAACACAAATTTGCAAATTAAACAAACTTAATTTCTGTGTCCCAATCCCTGATGTACCCAGTACAAGTATCTCAAATCTCTAGGTATCAATTATTTACCTGTCTCACTCAACCTGCATACAAATCACAGTCCATAGGCCCTCTTCCCTATCACCTCCTATAGAAAGCCTTATCTTCTAAATCTCATAACACTGTCATACCGAGCTATACTGACTTCAACACGAATGAGTCACTTCCTAACTTAGGACTTCCACTTCCTTAAAGTTCATGGGACTAAAATGTGATGCATACAATGGTCTGGTCCTGCATACATCTCAATCTCCACTGGGCTACAGTATCCAAAATTCCACTACATTGTCCATGCCAAGCCCTCTTTACTCCTTCATTCCACTGGCACCTACTTTATAATAAGTTAGCTTCAAGGGCAGTAAATTCTCATGGCTCCTCTGTAAAGAAATGGCAACATCTCCTTTCTTAAAAAAGCTTTACGTGGGACACCTGGCTGGCTCAGCAATTGAGCATCTGCCTTTGGCTCAGGGCATGACCCAGAATACCAGGATCAAGTCCCACATCAGGCTCCCTGCGTGGAGCCTGCTTCTCCCTCTGCCTGTGTCTCTGTCTCTGTGTATGTCTCTCATGAATAAATAAAATCTTTTTTTTAAAAAAAAAGCTTTACGGGCACCCCCGGTGGCGCAGCAGTTTAGTGCCGCCTGCAGCCTGGGGTCTGATCCTGGAGACCCAGGATCGAGTCCCGTGTCTGGCTCCCTGCACGGAGCCCGCATCTCCCTCTGCCTGTGTCTCTGCCTCTCAGTCTCTCTCTCTCTCTCTCTGAATAAATAAATTAAAAAACAAAAATGCTTATTTAAAATAAATAAAAAATAAAAAATAAAAATAAAAAAAGCTTTACACATACTTTCATAATCCACAAAATCATCATAACTATGAACCTTCTAACTCAGAGACTTAAAGTAGCGATTAACTTGTATACAAAAAAGCTTTCCAGAAAAGGAAAATCTATACTCTTTCATTTCTCACTACAAAGTTACATTCAGGAAAAGAATCATCTGCAAATATACAATGGATGTAACTCTCTTAGACAAGGGAAGAAAGGACTATACTGGGATGTGGTTGAGCAACTCCTGGTATCCCTGGGCCTAAACGCTTCCAGGCAGTCTTGAAGGCAGACTCAAATCTGTTGGCCTGAGGAAAGTTGCCATGAGGAGTAAGGCAGTGTGAAAAAGATCCTTAAACCTAATAGGTGGCATTAGCACATTTACTTATTAATGCCTTGTTAAGAAATAAAAAGTCAGGGGATCCCTGGGTGGCTCAGGGTTTAGGGCCTGCCTTTGGCCCAGGGCGCAATCCTGGAGTCCCAGGATGGAGTCCCACGTTGGGCTCCTGGCATGGAGCCTGCTTCTCCCTCCTCCTGTGTCTCTGCCTCTCTGCCTCTCTCTCTCTCTCTCTCACTTGCTCGCTCTATCATAAATAAATAAATAAATAAATCTTTAAAAAAAGAAAGAAAGAAAAAGTCAGGGGCGCCTGGGTGGCTCAGTCAATTAAGCATCTGCCTTCAGCTCAGGTCATGATCTCAGGGTCCTGGGATTGAGTCCCACATGGGGTTCCCTACTCAGCAGGGAGTCTGCGTCTACCTCTCCCTCTGCCGCTTCCCACTGTTTATGTGTGCATGCTCTCTCTCATTCAAATAAATAAAATCAATTTAAAAAATAGATAAAAAGTCACCTCTCTTTGTTTAAAAAGCTACAATACCAAATCAAATTGATCCAAATTGATATGAGACTAATTACATGACTAATTGATATGTGAGACTATTACATAACTAATAATCTGTAAAACAGGTCACTGTATCAAGTAATCTCTATCAGTATCTGGAAACTTATACATGAAAAAGATAAGCTCATTTCATAATTAAATGACAAAATTTTTAATTTTTTTTTAAGTATTTTATTTGGGATGCGTGGGTAGCTCAGCGGTTGAGAGCATGTGCCTTCGGCTCAGGACATGATCCCAGAGTCCAAGGATGGAATCTCACATCGGACTCCCTGCATGGAGCCTGTTTCTCCTTCTGCCTATGCCTCTGCCTCTCTCTGTGTGTCTCTCATGAATAAATAAATAAAAATAAAATCTTTAAAATAACATCTTTTCTAAAAAAATTAGGGTGATCCAACTGAAAGAAACTACATCCTAAGGAACAATTTGTAATTCAAGTCTCACAGGAAAAAAATCTACTTATCATTATTCTTAATGATTTTCAAAACAAGGTTAAATAAGGCCAAAAACTCATAGAAAGTATTTCCCTCTTGTCTCATTAATTAAGAAGCTATTTAAGAAAATAACTTCATATAGATGTTTAAGTGAGCACAAAAATAAAGTGGTTTAATTTGGCAATGGAAAGATGAACACACATAAGTAAAGACCAATGTTAAAATCTCAGTTGGAATATATGCCCAGTAATCTTTTAAAGCCAAAATGATTTGCCAAGAATTTTCATGCAATTTACAAGTGCATAGATTGTCTGAAGCCTGTTATAAAATTGGTTTCAGTCAGTTGGATCAATGATCCTCAACCTGAAAATCTCCCATAGCCAACATAAGTAATAAAGACACTTTTTTTCTAAGAAAGAAAAGAATGAAAAGAAAGCCAGCCTTTTTATTACACTGCTACCAGTTTCGAAAAAAAAAAAAAAAACTGAGCAAAACTGATGCAATCCATTAAGTGCATAATGCACATTTTCAAAATTACCCATATGAAAATGCCTATTTACCAGATTGAGCAAACGGCTGCTGCAGGGCAAATATATATTTTTTTTTAATCTTAAAATCAGCAAGCCTGAAATATGCCAGAGAAATGAGTGAGGCTATTACTATAGATATCAATTATTCCAAACAATACATGGTAATTTATTTTTTTTCTTTATAGGGATGTCTGGAAATAAAACCACGGGTGTAGATTGAGACTTGCTCTCTAACACCAAGCCTCTGCCAGGGAATGATCACACGATTAAGTGACCTCAAATACTGTATCCGTGATCCATGCAATGATACTGAACAGGGGCGTTTCTGGCTGTTTCTCACAACCTAAACATAGCTTTGTGTCCAAGAATCTATTGTGCCATCTGCAAACAACAGAGCATTTGCTAAGCTAGGGAAAGAAGTCAGCCAAAACATGAAGGCCGATTCTCAAGGCAAAGAAAGCCCTTCTCTGCTTTTCAATCCTCAGCAAATCAGCAGGTTTATGTAAATAGAGCAAGAGCATGGTCCTCTCAAGGGTAAAAACCCCAGCCTCAAGCATCAGGCAGTTTGTCATCCTGAAACACAAAGAACCTGTCAGCATCCTTCCTGACAGCCTCCGCCTGGAGCACAGTGGACACTTACTTC